TCTTTGACCTGCTCCTCTGCTCCGAAAATGCAGCACGGGGCTCCTCTGCTGAGCTCGCTTGCCCTGCACTGTACTTCTGAGTTAAAAAAAAAAAGAAAAGAAAAGAAACCCGCGCAGTTTTGGACTCTGGCAGCCGGCAGGAGCGATCCGGGCACGAGAAGCAACAAAGAATTCTGTGACATTTTGAGCTGGACGCGGCTGTTTGCGTCGGGAGAGTTGGAGGCGGGAGTTGCGGAGGAAATCGAGAGTTTTAGAAGAGTGGGGAGGTGGTTGAGAAAAAGCCCATAAAAATACAGTTGTTAGCCACGGTCAGCTATGGAGTAAGGGACTGTATGATGGCCCATGTTTCTACTTCTTTGCGAAGTGGTGGGGGTGAAAGAGTATATTTGTTTTGTTTTGAAATGGTCAAAGAACAGAAATCTTTTGAAAGCATAGTGGTGTATGTCACTAATGAGTTTAACAAATTTCTCTTCTGTATTTCAAGGCAGAATACTGTTTCTGGACTGCTTATCAACTCCAGATAAAATCAGCTGCATGTAACAACAAACATGCATATTCATAATCAGTAAAATGCTATACAAAGTAGAGAGATGATTAAAGATTGACTGAAAGGCAGATATGGATTAGTTTGCTACTTGCTGCAAGATGGAATTTAAGAAATTTGACACTGCTGAGATGTATGCAGATTAGAAATGTGTAAAGATGGTTTAGCATGCAAGATATGTGGGGAACAAAAGTGCAGTCTTGGGGACAAAGTGGATTGCAGCTGAATTCTAACAGAGGCAGACCCTTTCCACCAAACATTTCAAGAAATTTAACTTCCAAGTATATGGAACTGGTTATCTTTAATTGTTTCATACAGTGTCTCATTAGATCTAATTCTTGTGGGGAGGTCATGCAAACTGGATTAAGATGGAATTTGCTGTAAATTACATATAGGCAATGGAAAAAGATGGTGGTGCAAAGATTCTTTATGGCAACTACTGCTAATATGGACTGGCGGCAATACTTGTCAACCAAGAATCCTATTTCATTGCAGCTGTGGCTACAAATCAGATTACAGATTACAACAAATGCTCTTTCAAGATGTCTTAGGAAATAAAGTCATACGATAATAGCAAATGAATAACAAATCGATAGTTAATTTTGTTGTTCAGTTGCTTCCAACTCTTCATGACCTCATTGACATCATTTGCTAGGACTGTCTGTCAGTAACTGCTTCTTTGAATTAACTCCTATTGTGTCATTGGTGATGGTGTCAAACCATCCTGTCTTCTGTCAGCCTTTCTTAAAATTTCCTTTAATTTTTCCAAACCTCAAAATCAGATACCAGAACTGCTTCAGTAGAAATCTTGAAAGTATACATTATTTTGTAGGACTGTAACAGTTGGTAACGATGGAGCATGAGAAACCACAGGTGGTAATTCATTTTTGTTTCCAGTTGAAACCTTACCTACACAATGAATGCCATAAATGGTTCTCTTTTTCAACTTTACTCCTCCCTCTCTCATAAATAGGAGTTATGTCCCACCATTTGGAGCTGTAAGAATTACTGAGGTAAATAGATGGAATCCTGGATTTAGTCATACTTAAAGCAAATCTCTTGAAATCAATGGGCCTTAATACTCTGAAGCATTTTCATTGTGCTCAAAATGTTGCCTAAATTGTTAAGAGGTAAGACAACTGATTTTACTACATATAAGGCCAAGTGATATGGAAGTGATGTGGATGGGAATACTAAACCCAAAACATTTGAAAGCTATTATGCCAGAGATGGTTGTTGCCAAGTGTAGCATTCATTCTGTTTTAGAGTTAAAGGTTCCTGTGAGTAGGTGGTTTCATTATTTCTTGTACCACCTCCCTCTCATAACCTTGAGGAACTAGAATCTTCCTCCTTTTTGTCATATTTTCCTGTATCTGTTGCTTAATGCAATGGGCCTACATTGGGGTCAGTGACAATTAGAGCTAATCAGGGTTGCCCTCAAACCAGAACTTGAAATTGTGGATTGTAGATTCCATCATGGTTGAAGGAATCCTTATTAACTCTCTCCAGAACTGGGCTTGATTACAGATGTGACCCGAAACTCTGGAAGTGGGTAGGACTTACAGGTGAAAGAGAAGGGTCAGAAAGAAAAAAAAATGATACCCCCCAACCTACAGCTAATTTCTGACTTTGAAACCATAATCTGGAAAGCTGTACAGTATTTATGGATTGGATTCTGAAAGGATTTTCAAATGCCAGTGTAGTGCAACCATTCAAAAAGCAGAGAACACTTGGAAAAAGATGAGCTAATGATCTTAAAATGCTTTTCCTTCACTAGCTGCTGCCCTGTGTTCTTTGTCTTTCAAAGTTGAAGGGGACAAAGTTTGCTAAGGTTCATCCTTTTGCTTCCCTCTTGCCCCACTCACTCAGATTTTGTATTCTTCATACAGTTGGCAAAGTTACTTGAATTGGCATATATCTCCTGCTACCCCTTGTACCTTATGTGTAAAGGTCCTGCCTAATGGAGAATGATGGAGCTGGAGTGTTTACCTAGGCTTGTGCTGAACTAAAGAAGTAAAATTGGGGAGTGGAGGGAGAAAGAAGCCCGTGTAAAGACCATGATTTAGCTTCTTTTGAGGCAAATCCTAAATTCTCTCTTCCAGTTTGAATTATGAGAGTAATTCGCTGTATTTTGCTCTCCTACACACACTTTAAAAATACCAGGGTCCACATTTTCATACTCCCTGCTTCTGTGTCTTTAAGAGCAACCTGACATGCAGAAGCTTAGCAAAGGAAGCAATTATGTGATGGGAAAAACCTTCATACTGATGTGCAGTTAAAGATAGAGGATGAAAAAAGATTGTCCACTGTACGATCATTGAGGTTTTAATCAAAATATAACTCTATTCTGTAATCAGACTTTGTAAACTTCAGTGCATTTGTGCAACATGCTTTTCTGTGATTTAAGCTAACTATGATCAAGATAGCCCAGCAGTTAATTTTCTATATGCCTGTCTTCTATCTGTCCACTGATATTCCAACTATCCTTGTGATAGCTGAGTAGCTAGCCCTGTTATTAAAAGCCTAAATAAGCAAGCATATAGTGACATGATATGAGCTGCTCTGCTTAGAATGAAGGACAGCTAATTTTTCCCCATCCCATATTTATCTTGAAGAGTTTCATACGTTCTATAGGAAATGCAGGTGGGTCATACTTGTAGCAGGATCAGTTTGCACCTACTCGTATTCTGCCTATATCTTATCTCTCCACTCATGTCTGGATAGCATGTGAAGCTGTGGCTATACCAAGCAACTGTACAATGAACCATGGTTCTAAATCATGGTTAAAGCTGTTCACCTCAACCACAAACTTTGGTACAATGAGCATGGAAGACACTAAACATAACCTTGCAGTGATTAACAGGAGATTATTTCCCACCATGTAAAGTTTATGCCATTATTTTTGCAATTCAGCTTATTGAAAATACTGAAGTGGGGTGATGGGATTAGTTGTTTGTGTCGTTTATCACCAGAGTGCATACTTAGCAATGATGGCAGTAATGCCAGAGAAAAAGAAAGGGAAAACAATGAAATTCTTCAACTCCAGAGGGCAGGAGATCTATGTAGCACTTCAAAAAAGTTTTCACTAGATGTACCATTGTAGAAAATGATTTTATGGGAAACTTATTTTTGAAAACAAAAGAGTAATTCTCTCTCTTTAGGCCTCTCAGCATGAAATTAATTTATATGCTTATTATTGTGCCATATCCAAAAAACAGGATTTGTCGCAGAGGACAAAGTTGGGCCTTCGTGTGCAGCTGAGTATTTTCCCCCATGCGCCAGTAAAATTCACCTGCCAGTATAGTTCATTTCTGTTCATTGAATAAGTAATAAGTTCATTGAACATCAGAAGTAAACAACCTGGAGCCCTTTCAGGGGTTTTAAGCTTCAGAGTGGCCAACGGCAATGGACTGTGGTCCCAAACATATAAAAGGCACTAAGTTCCCTACACTGGACTAGGCTCTAATTATGTGAATAAGCCCACATGATGATGATGATGATGATGATGATGACTACAATGACATTGACGATTTTCTTTAAAGATGCACAGCACCATCTTGCTTTGCTCCTTGGTATGGTTCACATAGGTGGTATAGTTCACATACCTTCGCAATATGGTTTGCTTGTTTTTGGATTAGCATGATGTGCGAGCGCATCAATTATTCTTAGCACATTGTGTGAACCAAACCATAATAGCTTGTTCTACAAATCATAATTTAAAAATTACAGCTTAGTATTATGTAGGAATTAGAACTGCTTTTTTAATGACAAAGAAGGAACTGGCATTTCTGAAGGGTGAAGGTTATTGTCCAAGATAAATCTCACACTCTGGTGTAGCTTGTTGGGCTTCCATTCACCATGCTAACATCTCTTTATTGGTTCAAACGTTTTCATTTTACTTCTGTAAATAGAATGTACTTGAATGCATTCCTTTTTGGAAGATCAGAATAGTGCATGGGAATGGTTAATATCTGGGAGTGAATAGGTTGGACTATTGTTGATAAACACACAGTCTTTAGAACTGAATTTTCCTCTTATGTGAGGCAGAATGTTCTTGCTGCAAGAGGCCCAAAGTAAGTGATTCCCCATTTTGTTAGAAAATCAGAGACACCCATGGACA